TAACTGTGTTAATTTATACATATCATCAAGCCATGCGTACATTGGCTTCTTATAATCGAGTCAGACAGAAAGACTGCTCAAGCATATCGCGTTATTTATCGATTTGCCGTGACTGATATATTAATTAGTTTAGCCTTCGTTTTCCACTGCTTAGCTGTCAGTTGTTCGGTAAGTCTCTCGATCAGAGAGAATATGAATATTAGAAAAATATTTACATGCCTAGATATCGAGATTTTCGTCCGTCTGTGAATTAATGGTAAATTCCTACAAACATTTTGTTTGCGTATTCATCATTTTATTGATCTACGTCTGCTGTACCATGTATAAGTAAAATTGAAACCAATTCTTAGTTAGTTCTTTAAGTCTTCTTTTATTTATTTAATTGTGCATTTAATAGCTTACTCTTTTAGTGTTTGCTAGATTCTTTTTGTTTAGCGGTATGTCAACACCTCTATGAGTCATTTAATGACGAAATCTAAATATTCTGTACGTAATTTTATTTTATTTACTTTTTGGAGATAATGGTTTTAGTGATACAAGTCTTACTAATTAACCCCTAGCCAGGGGGAAGAGATTGTTTCATAACATTCCCAGTGGTATTTAGGCGTAAGTGTATATAAAGAACACGACTGGAATTAGAACTCGTCTCCCTGCTTAACAATTCCGAGCCATTATCCATTACACCACCCGCACATTCAAGGTTACAGCACTTTCTATCCCCAAGAGGTCACCCATCTAGATAGTAACCAGGCTCGACGTTGTTTAACTTCGGTGATTGTTTCAAGACAGGTTTACTCATTTGCTGTGAGTATATGTATTTTCCTAATTATATTTTCTTCTTAAATACATTATCTTCCCTCAAAATGTGTTTGAACATGGCTCCCCACAGCATTCTTTACTTTGTAGCTCTTAGCAACATTGATCGATTGATTTGTTTTTTTTTTATGGCCCATCAATATTTTGCAGGTTATTTAAAGCCAAAAACTATTTTTAAATTGCAAGAATTGTTTGGTGAGATTAATGATCCACTCATACAAGCCCTACTAATTAATCCAAAGTCGATTTCCAATTCCGAGCTGCTATCCATTAGACCATCCGCACACTCCTGCTTACAGTACTATTCTGAATCAGTCACACATCTAGGTACTGACCCGGCTCGACTTGGCCTAACTTCGGTGATTGGACGAGAACCGTGATATGGTCGCAAGACAGGTCTTAGTAAGTTTTGATTTTCACCATGCCTACCTGTCCCCGTACTTCCATCCATTTACAGAATCGACTCGCTGTTTCCTCGATGTCTCTCTTGCATTCGATTTCTACTGTACGTGTCCAGTTCTCTAAACGTTCTTTCCTCGTTATGTGTCTTGTGAATTTCAAATGTCTGCTTCAGATACTATAAGTAACTTTTGTGTTTTCATTTGTTTAATTAATGGTTTTCTCAGCATTCTTCTGTATAACTACGCCTGATTTTATTATAGATACGAACAGCCTGAGATAGATAGATAGATAGATAGATAGATAGATAGATAGATAGATAGATAGATAGATAGATATGAAAACACTGGGATAAATATGAAAAGACTGAGAGAGAATATAGCTAGATAGGAAAAGTCTGTGAGAGATAAAGAAAGTCTGAGATAGATAGATAGATAGATAGATAGATAGATAGATAAATAGATAGATAGATAGATATGAAAACACTGAGAGAGAGATATGAAAAGACATAGATAGATAGATAGATAGATATGAAAATACTGAGAGAGATATGAAAAGACACAGATAGATAGATAGATAGATAGATAGATAGATATGAAAAATACTGAGAGAGAGATATGAAAAGACACAGATAGATAGATAGATAGATAGATAGATAGATAGATATGAAAACACTGAGAGAGAGAGATATGAGAAGACATAGATAGATAGATAGATAGATAGATAGATAGATAGATAGATAGATAGATAGATATGAAAACACTGAGAGAGAGAAATATGAAAAGACACAGATAGATAGATAGATAGATAGATAGATAGATAGATAGATATGAAAACACTGGGATAAATAGAAATATAATATACACGACGCAAGGATAACAATTATCTTGATTATTACCACACTGTAATAATTATAATGCTCGCTCGTGCCTGAGTATGCGTATATACTATGGCATCTAGTCTATCCCTTTTCCAAACGCAGGTACAGTTGTGTTTGTCTAACACCAACAGTCTGAACAAAGTCAGTAAGCTCATGCCCTCAGTCACGATGACTTGAGAATTCGTGCAAGTACGACCATCTGCGGCATGCCCAAGTCTTTGGTCAACCTGTGATATGTTTTTCAGGCCTTTTCAAAGGTTTTGCACTCTGTTACAGCAACTCCAAGCCGATAACATCAATAAGTTTCTTTTCTGACAAATCGAAATGTGTAAAATTTGGCGGGAAACTGGAAACTGGACTCTTGTATATAAAAATTCAAAGAAAACTTACGCATTCTATTAAATACGTATTTGATATTTTAATCATTATTTTTTTTTTAAACAGTGGATATATTTTGTATATTAAATAATAAAACATTTAAGTTTTCAAATAAAATGAATGAAAATTATTTATTATAAACTACGCCCCCGAATACATCCAACTGTACTTTGTACACACTCCCCAAAATTTGCTTTCGTTCGGCCAAGTTATGGCTATTTTCGAGGGTGTGAAAGACTGACGGACTAACGGAAGTCACAGAATTTTATATATAGATGGAAAAAATTATATTAATAAATGTATTTATTCATATATTCTTCCCTTAATAATAATTATTATCTCCCAATGTTTTTGAATGTGTATCCAAAAATATCCTACGTAAATGTATAAAAAAGTTTAATGAAAATGTTTAAAAATTCTGGAAATTCAAAATGACTATACAGATATCAATGACGTAATCAGAATTTGAAATCTGAAATTAGCAAATATTAAATCAAGTCCGGATATCATCATAAAAATAGGGATTCGATTTACGACTTTATTTTATATTATGAAAAGGACGCACATTACAAGTATAGAAACTTATAAGTCAATAAAAAATAAATTACTATATTTTTACCCTGAGAAATGTCAAGCCTTGGGAAGGTACAAAGAAGGCTAATCTATATAACGTTGAGTATGCTCCCCGATGATATATTTTGGGAGTTTTTTTTTTTTTGTCCTCTTAGAGACTTCTCGTTGTCCAGGTTAAATTAATCGGGTCAGAAAACAAATCGTTTGCACCCTCCTTTATTCTATGATTCAACTAACTTGATCATTATTCCTTTACAAGATATTTGTTCCAAAAACAGATTCGGTATTTGTGAACTTCTCACCGATGTGACGTGGCTTCCCTCTGTCTTTTCCACAAATATTTTCATGGCAACTGTTCTGAGTTTTTTTTTTTTCGTTTTCCTTGGTGCCCCATCTACATAAATTTAAGCATACTACTAGATTGGCAGTTAGGTCCCAACATTTTAGCTAGATTCAACTGCCACTTCTACTTTAACAGTTTCTTTTCTCGCACTTCTCATCTGAAGAACTCCAAGTTATCAAGTGGGATTTATTAAATCTGCGATATCCAAAGGCATGACATGTGTAAATAAAACAATCTACCCCGTTGACTATATAAATTTTTACTTTTTATTTTATTGAATGAGTTAATTCTGCACGAGCATTGCTGCTTCTGATAGAATATTATTCATGAAAATTGCATTTCTTGTTCCAGTTAATAATAATAATAATAATAGTAATAATTTATTATTGTTTTACATGTGGCTTTCTTCTGACTGCTTTGAAATAATAAATCATCTGTTCATAATGTACTACTGTTATTGAGCTTATTTTAACGTGTACCGTACCATCTGTCTTGCAAAGTAGAAATTTTGAAATTTACCGTATCATTGCGTCTTATTCTGATTGCTTAGTTTGCCCTGAATATGACGCAATTGTTTCCTTTAATTATCAATTAATTTAATTAACAATTAATTGTAGGATCAGAGTTAAAGATGAAATTAGGTTTGATCTTTGGTGACATTACCTCACTTCATGTTCAGGTTAATTAACAATATACCCTCTTTCAAAATCTCGCGACAAAATTCAATGATGCAGACATTTCGTATCTCTGCAAACTGGTAATAACTGGTTGAGCAAGGCAACCAGAAGGGAAGAGGAAGACTTGTGTACAGATTCTACAAAGGCATCAGCTCTTGCAAGAGACAATATGGGCGATCACCTAAATGATGGAAAGACCAAGAAGACCAGAGAAGACACCAGAATACCTCTGCTTACACATAAAAATAATGTTCTGTAGATAAAGAAGTGAGAGAATACTATGGACAAGATGTGCACAAGGATCTCGTTGGGATTATACCAATATGTATAGAAGAACCGCATGGATTTTTGCTAATTCAGATACAAAATTAGGCTTTTTCCAGAATAGGTTTTCTCAGCATACCGTTAATAATTTATGGAATATTTACCATAATTCCAAATGTTTAATACGACTTCATCTATAATAGACATCCCTAAAATTGCGCTGAAAGTGTTGGAAAATGTTTCTACACACGCATAATACATAATATTCAAGCTGTAATTGAAAATATTTATCAAAATTTCCGATCAACACGAGTCTAAAAAGAAAACGGAAATACCTATATTGTGCATCCTGCGCAGACTCATTAGCCTGTTTTTCTTTGATAAAATGCGCAATCTACAGGATCTGTATGTAGTTTATCACAGAAAATGGTTTCAAACATAGAAAAATATTATTTTAATTTAATTTTATGATAATTCTTATTTATTTTACATTTCTAAGAATTGTTACTTACATATGATTCTATTTGACATCGTTATGGGGGGTCGCAATTGCCGAATTTTAGTGTCAAATTATCGTATGTTTGTGGTGAGTAATCATTTTGCAACTGAAATCGATCTATGAAACGGCAATTTTTTAAAGATTTTTTTGTAGCTATGCATAATACGCACCCCTAGTTTTGCTTATTTTTTTTTTAGAAAATAATGCGTATTATACATGGGGAATTGCAGTACTCATTTACTGTTTTTTTTTTTTTTTTACCAAAGTTCACCCAATACAAGGCCTGAGTATTCCTCATAGTAAAGGGATGGTAAAGGAGGGGCGTGATAGGAATATAAGCGGAGTTAGAAGAAAGCGAAAAAAAGATGCCTGAACTGTTATGTAATATCAATGATTCACATGGTCATTGAAAAGCAATTCCCTATTTTATATATGATGGACTCTCCATTCTTGTGAAAATAATAGATGGACGGGAGAGTTCATCTTACATAAAATAGGGAATTACTTTTCAATCACACCGTGTATGACAGGGAATGCTGGATAATCCAGCTCAGAGATGAAGAAATGACACAAAGCAATAGAAATCTGGTTCTACAGAAATCGGCTGAGAATACCAGGAACTAAATGGTTAAATGGATAGCAGAACATGGATTAGGAGAGACAGAAAAAATAGAAAATTTACTTTGATCTGCAAAAGAGATATACATTGTGGACAGCCATGACCACTAAAGTCTTGCAGGGATATGGCACAAAGAAGAAGAAGAAGAAGAAGGAGAAGGAGGAGGAGGAAGGGGAAGAGTAGTAGTAGGAGAACAAAAGGAGGAAGGATGAGGAGAACAAGAAGATGTTTTACGAACACGTATGTTAACTTCATCCGAGATTCATATTTCAGCCCACACACACACACACACACATACATACATATATATATGTGTGTGTGTGTGTGTGTGTGTGTGTGTGTCTGTGTGTGTATCTATGTATCTATCTATGTATATACATATATATATACATCTATTTATGTATATATGTATCTATCTATGTATATATATGTATCTATCTATCTATCTATCTATCTATCTATCTATCTATCTATCTATCTATATATTTGTGAGTTGAAGAACTTAATTCAATTGAAGTTCCACGGAGTCTGTAATTTGAAGAACTCAGTCTTTGGCTTGAATTGTAATTTCGGATCAAATCGGTCTTCTCTCCGGATTTGGGCTTATGGCCCAAATCAGTGTTAAAAATTAGGTTTTCATGTCCCATGGAGTGAATTAAGGAATTCAAAGTTATTTCTTCAAAATTATCATTGCTGTTTTATAATCTACACCAAAGTTTTCGACCGGAGATGCAATTAGCCGTCCATAAAAGCTAGCTTACAAGTTAGCAAAATTTAATACGTTCCGGAATGCCGTTAGTAAACCGAAATGTTCGTAAACCGAAACTATTTTTCCAATAGGAATCAATGTAGAGAAAAATAAAGCCACAGTAAAATAAAATTGGAAAAGAAAAGCACGGCACAATACAAGAATGTATACAATATGGCGGTCGACTCAGAAATTATTCCATTCGTTTTAATTCGGTTCGTCCATGGTGTTGGTGAACCGAAATCCTGTTCGATAACCGCGGAATTTACATCTCGAATTTTCTGTTCGAAAAGCGATTTGTTCGACGACTAAGACGTTCTATAACCAAGATTGCACTGTAATTAAATAAAAGATGTTCCATTTGCATAACAATCTTAAATCGGAATAAACATTGTAAAGTAACGAAATTGTTTTCTAGATTCATTTTAAATTTCGACATTTGAACATATCGTTCCCGTAGAGTCCTACATAACATTCCAAAGTTTAAATCTCTTTCTCTTGCAGAAATATGATAATCTTATATCGATGAATGTTTTGAGGGTGACGGTGTGGAACATTAGCATTAAATACATCGTATACCCTATGCGTATACACCTGTTAAAGAAATATGGTTTTCTGTGTCGCAAGTTATTAAGTCTAAGCTTGTTTCGAATTATCTACATTTGAAATCTTATCAGTATTTTCTGGTTATGCGTTTTGATTTACATTTAATAGAATAAAAGACGCAAGAATGTTGAACCTTGAAAATATGCGACGGTTTTAATGATATTATGAAGTCAATATGATTTTTCTCTAGGTAAAGTCTGAGAATGCTAAATTGACAAACAAACGTTGCTGGTTAGGCAGATCTATATATGTATGTATGTACATATATATATATATATATATATATATATATATATATATATATATTTCAGTTTATTGATTAGCTGTGTATCTGTGTGTCTAACTGTCTGATTGAATATTTGTTCATTATCTCTCTCTCTCTCTCCCTCTCTCTCTCTCTCTCCTCTCTCTCTCTCTCTCTCTCTATATATATATATATATATATATATATATATATATATATATATATATATTTCAGTCTATTCATTCATTATCTATCTATCTATCCAAGTCTATTATTTTCTACTTTTCTATATACGGACAAAGTTAATATATATTTATTATTTAAAAAACGGCTTTATTATATATATATATATATATATATATATATATATATATATATATATATATATATATATATAAACGTGCAATCAATTTACAAATACATGAATTATTCACACAAAAACTAATGCAAAGGTTAATGATTTAAATGGCGAGACATCCATCATCGCAAACAATTCAAATAATATACAAAAACCTCCGTATCCCTTATGAATGAAATGATCCTTGTTTATATAAATTTCTGCCGTATTAGTTCTTATTTTACTACAAGCTTTCGTCTGTTCCTACAGACATCTTCAGGTATAAAATAGATGTTGTTCTTGTTTTTTTCTCTTAGTAATAAGAGGACAACGAAAATATATGTATTGTTGTATCCGAAAATGCATTTTCGGATACAACAATAGTAGGATAAAGAACAAAGAGGAAAAGGTTATCAATCTAAAATTGTACGCTTTTATAAAATCTTCGTCAGCCAATGAAATATGGAGGAGAAAAGTAAATAAAGAACGAACGAAAGAAAGAAAGAATGAACGAAAAAAATGAAAGAAAGAAAGAAAGAAAGAAAGAAAGAAAGAAAGGAAGAAAGAAAGAATGAACGAAAGAAAGAAAGAATGAAATAAAGAGAAAAATTTTGGTAGTTTTAATTTTGTTTGTTTTTGATTGATTAAGCAGACTTCACGTGCATCTGTCTCATGAAACACAGTTCAGTGTATAATTCATCAGTCTAGGTCTATCATAATTTTAATTTGTCTGGGCGGTGTCCGGATGTAAATATATATTTATGTGTTCGTATCTGGTAGACGTTTTTATTTGTATTTGGTGGTTGCAGGCATGTTTATTCAGGAACGTCTTATATGCGGGTCAAAAATCTTCTGTCATCGCTTGTAGGATTTAGATATAGCTTAGACTATTTAAATCTGTATAGATATAGTTAAATATTTATCAGAACTCCCTCAAAGTATTTTCTGTGTAACTAAGCTCCTCTTAATTATGGTGGATTTATTTACACACACACACACACACACACACACACACACACACACACACACACACACACACACACACATACATATATATATATATATATATATATATATATATATATATATATATATAATTTTGTTATTTAAACCTGTGATTTTATTTAATCCTGGGAAGAATTTTCTGATTTCTTTTGGAATTTAAAGGTCTGAAGAATTACAGCAATTTTTAAGATCCTGATGAAATAAATTATTACTTTTTTATTGTTATTATATTTTTATAACAATTATTCCTCTGTTTCGAACTTAGTGCTCTCTTTGGATTTATATCCTTTTGGAATTATCCACATTGATCACTAAGTTTATCATTATATATATATATATATATATATATATATATATATATATATATATATATATATATATACAATATCATCTACAGAAAGAGTGTTTCGCTGTATCACAGCTCATCTGTGCGGCTAGACATTTTCCCCGAGCTATCAGCGCTCAGTCGAGAGGAAGGCTAATTTTTACGTACTTGTTCTTCGAATAAACACGCCAATGACCGAGTTCATGGAAGAGATTTGCAGTATTCAAAATGGGATCATCCGTATTTGCTCTCTGGCGATCTATGTTCAAACTCCAGTGTCGGCAGTGACATTTTATTCCTATATAACACGGAAACCAGTTAAGACAGATTTAAAGCAAAATACAGCCAATTAACATTTCTGAGCGTGACCGCAACTCATATTGGCACGTTTATGTGCACACAAATGGCTCTTTAACTTCGCTGCACACATACATACATTTTCTTACCTAAATAACAAATGAATGTTGTGATGAGTATTTTGAAGGTTATATTCTCATCAGGAAATCTGTTGCCTCTTAGCCCAGCTGATGATTTGCAGATTCTGTCTCAAAATTGACCCAGGGCGCCAGCTGGTCCGGGAGGAAAGCGTTCAATCTGAGAAACATGGTCTATATTGTTGTGCCGATGGTATTTCATGTGACTCGTTAAACCAGCTTTGGACAAGCAAATCCTACTGCAAAAAGTACATTTATGCT